TGATTTTGGACTTCAGGGAATTCCTGTTCAGTCTTTACATGGCAACAGAGAACAGTGTGATCGTGAACAAGCTTTGGACGATTTCAAAAAAGGTTATAATTAATCAATTTAACATGTGATTATGTAATTATCAAAACACATAAACTCAAGTTCAGATCTTTATTACAGGGTTTGAGCAACTTAGAAAGATTTCAAAGAGAATTAATAGTAAAATCCAAGTTAAAAACTATGATGTTAAAATTACACAAATGCTGGGGCTCCATGTAGAATCATATAATATTAAACAACTTGTGAAATAAATTGTATACTAAGCAGGACTGATCTTTTCATATTAAATGGTGCTATTGATGAGGACAGGGCCATGCATTTTTCTTTCTAAGCCAGATCTAATTTGAATACTATTAATTACATCACAGATTTGAGATGCCTTTTAAGAAATAAGACACATCTCAGGATAGTGGATTTCCTTGATAGCATAGATCTACAAAAAAAGATTTTATAGAAAATGTTTGCCCATACTGGCCAAACCAGATATCAGCCCATCTATAATGAGTGAATCTCTGGCCAAGCTTTTAATTCTGATCAACCACTGTAGCCTCACTCATCAATTAGTATGAATCTTTCCAATAAACAATTATTTTAGCCATTATTAGAACAAATATAATATTTGTAGGCAAACCCTGTTAACTATGCAATATGAAACCCGAAAAACTTAGGTTTGCCTCGATGGTAAGGCCAGCCCTGCTAGCATGTTAGTAAGATGTGCTAATGGACTCTGTTCTCTTCACTCAAGTGAGTTTTACAAAATGTTCTTACAGCACAAATGGTTTCCCCCCCCCCAAAAAAGTCTCTGTCTTTCATTTATGTCAGAAAATACTTAGTGGGTTTTTTTTCCTGGATTCTGCTACTTCAATGGAGCATTCTTTTCATACCATGGATATTAGACAGTCACAATCTACATTAACCAAATTGCATCATTTAAATCAATTTGTACTTGTTCACTTCTTTTTTCATTTTGTTCGGAGAATTTCCCTGAGTTCCTTTTTCCTAGCTGGGAAAGAAAAGTGCAAGCAATCTCCCTGGGGGAATGCAAGTAAAAAAAAAAAAAAAAAAAGACACAGAGACTGGCTGCTTTGGAAAGGATTTCTCTGTCCCTCTCTCTCTCTCCCCCATCTCCCCCACTCTCTCCTCTCTCAACGTGGCCATCTTGGCTTTGATTATAGTTTGTTTCAAATTTGATCCACTGTGTTAATGTTGAGAATTAGCAAGGTCTGTCCCTCAAACTGTGTATATAAGAGACAAGGTGAGTGTTCCCATAAAAAATACTAGAGTCTGGAACAATCAAAGTGGGAATAGATTTCCATAAGTACCAGCTGCTGGAAAAACTACAGAAAAGTAACACTTCATTCAAATGTATTGTGAAAAATTACCAGTTTTTATTTTGCTTGTTTTAGGCAAAGTTCGTGTATTGATAGCGACAGATTTGGCTTCCCGTGGACTTGATGTGCATGATATTACGCATGTCTTTAATTATGATTTTCCTCGTAACATTGAAGAATATGTTCATAGAGTGGGACGTACTGGACGAGCTGGGTAAGCCAAACTTTAAACTGTTTCTATGTTACCAAGTAGAAAATATGTGTTTTCTTCAGCATATTCTAGTCTCTTATATCAGATGCATTAGAGTATAGGGAAATGTAGCAGTCTCTCCTCGACAGGGATTCATCAGCTGAACAAATTTATCTTTTTCCTGTTAAAAATAATTTATTCCAACTCATTCCTCATTAAGGAAATGAGAGGAGAAAGAAAACATATTCCTGTTAGTAAGGATGTTTTTCTCAGAGTTAAGGATCCTGCTGTAAGTAGAGGAGGCACAATGGCTCAGCAGTTAAAGATGCTGAACTTGTCATCTGGAAAGCTGACAGCCTGGGTTCAAGATCTGAGCACTGCACAATGGGGTGAGCTCCCATTATTTGCCCCAGCTCTTACCACCTAGCAGTTCGAAAGCATGCAAATGCAAGTAGATAAATAGGTACCACTTAAGTGGGAAGGCAACTGCATTCCATGCCTCTCAGTACATAGTCATGCTGACCACATGACCATAGAAATCTTCGGAAAATGCTGGCTCCCATGGCTAAGAAACAGAGATGAGCACCGTCCTCTAAAGTCAGACATAACTGAATAGAGGTAACCTTTACCTTTGTAAATAGATTGGGCTATGTCAGAAAGGAACAGAAGATGGATTGCTTTTTTATAAACTCCCTTTTTACCCATTCTAACTAATCACTTGGAGCTTCAAGGATCTAAATGGAAACCTGTTCTATAGGTGTCCCATCATTAAAGGTCTCCAAAATACCATTTACTCCAGAATGTTCATCTTCATTACCCACTCTGGCAGAGGTGGCTGAATCTGCCATTTTGTCCCCGTTGCCGTGCCCCCCCCCCACATTTTGAATGTTGATAATCCTATTTTTAAAAATGGAGCTATCCATTTGATGTTTCATGATGACATGGATCCTTTTTAGCAGTAAGACATTGTTTTTCTGTTTATGCACAGGATAAATTATAAAGATAACATGTATATTTTCTTTTCCGTCCATAATCTGCTTAACTGCTACTTGAGGAGAAATGTGATAATTACCACTGGTGCAATTTCAATCATTCAGAAAGGAGCAACCAGTTTTTATTACTTAAAAGTCTAAAGACAGAATATGGATTTAAAAATAGAACATTTTAATAAATTATCAATACAGGTCTATAAAAGGGAGTCTCTTACAGAAATATTAAACCCCATTTTATTTGGGGGAAATGTTTGGATTGATGTTAAGCAAAAATTTATTTTAAAGAAAACCCAGATATGAGCTATTTATTTATTTAGTTTGCTTTTACATAGACGCAAAGGAGAAGCTATAACGCTTGTCACAAGGAGTGACTGGCGAATTGCATCCGAGTTGATTGACATTTTAAAAAGAGGAAACCAGGTAACATTATAACTAAGCTTGTTGCTACTTTTTTCCCGTTGTTCCTTTTACCCTGATTTGATTAAAATAATATAAAACATTAAATACACATTTAAATTGATTTTTAAATTTTTATTTTGAGTAGTTTATATTATATATATAGGAGGTAAGGACAAGGATTAAGATGTGTAAGGCCATGGTATACATGTAGTGAGTGAAGTGTTGGAGATCAGTTCCAAAAGGTTTTGAATCGTTTTGTTTTTAATTGAAAGAAGCCTATTTCAGAGTTTACACTGTAATTTCCATATTTCTTGTTAAAAAGGTAAAAAACAGACTGTGCATCATCAGTTTCTAATAACCCTGCATAGATGTGGTTTGGGCAGCCACAATAAGGGCCTATCAGGTTTTATATTTGTGAATGTAGAATAAATGGTGATTTTAAATCCCTTGAGATTATTTAAATCTCAAAGCGATTTTATCACCGAGATGAATAAAAATCTAGTTGGATATTTCCAAAATTGAACTTAAAACTCTTGTGAAATATATTTGCTGTATTATGGAATAGCTTATAGTTAAAATCTGTTGCTACTACAAAATGTGTTAATTTGCTTTTTGTTTTTTTTAAGTGCTAGCTTATAGTTTTTATCTTACATTTTATATTGTTTAAAATTGTGATAGGCATTTTTGCAAATTTTAGTATCACAAATCGTTACCAAATATTTTCATATTCACTACAAATTGCAGTGCTATATTATAGTATAACACTTTATACTTAACAGTAACATGAATTTCCTGGTTTAAATATATTGTTTCCACAAATGGAAGATAATTTGTTCCATCAGATATTCCTCTCCTACTCTTGTAGCCTTGAATTGTCTCCACAAAATATCACAGGAGGAAATTGCTCAAAAGTTAGAAGGAACTTAGATAGCTGATTTATACTTCTGAGTTCAAAAGTCTTCTGATATAGCCAAGAAGTTCAATATACTCCATATTTTCCAGAAAGACCTCCAAAACACAAAATGCTTTTCTTAAGATACAGATGATTTCTTTTTTAAAGATGAGTTGTATCAAGTTGATTTCTGTTTTTGCAACTACTGAAGAACTCTTCTTCAATGTGCATGTTTAGGAGTAAATGCTAAAATCTAATTTAACCTGATGAAAACAGGATTGTTAATATTTTAGAATATATTTATATTATTTATAGAATATATATTACATAAACTGATTTATAGAATATTTTCATGATTTTTTTTTAGTTTGTAGAAATTGAAAATGTAATAATGGCTAATTGTTGATTTATCTAATTTTAATAGGTGATTCCTGAAGAACTTATTTTGATGGCTGAAAGATATAAGCAATTCCGGTTGAAAAGGGAAATCGAAAATGGTTTAGGAAGGTCACGGGGGCGGCCACAGAAAGGTTTCTAGGCTATCTGGAAACACTATAGATAGTGCCTATGGGAAATTCAGTAAAATGACTTTTGTGCTATTACAACAAAACTATGAAGCCTGATTTTCTTCAAGAAAGGTGCTTTTTCAGTCTTTCTCAAACTATTTGGTACCAGATTTAAAACAATTTAATATCCTCTGTACTGCTTTGAATTCTGTGATACTATGATGACTATTTTGAAAAAAATAAATAAAACTCCTTTGTAACATACTCTGGAATTTATTTGATCACATTGTCTCACTTTGGCAGAGAATATTAAAAAGCACTAACTGTTACTTCAAAAATATTTCCTCCTCTTTAATACCAGCCATAAATTATGGTGCCTTGTAATTGGTTTAAGATTGCCTCATCTGCCTTGTAAACTACTCATGCTTTTGATTTAAAAAGTAATTTCTTATTTTTATGAAATAAATTGTCAGATTCAAGAGACGTAACAGGGGAACAGATCTTCCCCTGCCCACCTTTACTTTAAAATTAACTCATTTTTATGTTAATATATGAAAAACATTTCAAATTCTAAACATTTTCAATTCACACCAGATTGTTCTAATCTCATGCAGTTCTAATCATTTCAGAACACTTTTATCGTTCTTTGTGCATTTCATTTTATTTCAAGAGGTCTGCAAGTCAGATGTCCCTGCTAATTTTGGTGTTTTGACCATAGACCAGTAGCGATACTCCCACTCATTGCTTTCTTTTGGCAAAGTTGCTGGGTTTTTTTTGTAAAAACTGAACAAGGAAAGAATCCCCCATCATTTTGATCCCTATTGAGTATTGTGGAAAGAGCTCCGTTAGTCTCCCCCCCCACCCCCCGCAGAATGTTTAGATAAGTTTTTATTTCAAGAGTTCTGTGATCTGACATGTCTTCTAATTTTGATGTTTGGGTAGCAAACCAGGAGTATCAGTTATCAGAAGAAGCTAATTTCATATACTGTCCTGGAGAAAGGAATAAGCCAGATGTTCAGACTGGATTTGGCATTTTCATCCATCTATTGAGTCCTTCACAAGAGACATGAGATAGGCAGAAGTTAATGTTTGATGGTTTTAGAAGTATTGTCACAGGATGTAAGCTATTGTGAGTAAAAGCAGCCTTTTGCAATCGGTTGATGGAGATTTGGTCAATGCCGATGGTGTCCAGGTGATGCTCCAGTTGTTTTGCAATTGCACCCAACGGGACTATTACTGTTAGTACTACTTTTGCTTTCTTTTACTATAGTCATTCTATTTCTATTTGTGGGTCTTTGTATTTTGTTGTCTTCTACTGTCTCCAGGTACTGCCACTATTCAGACTTCTTTTGTCTTTCTTATCGACAGTTGGCTTGTTATATGGCAGATGCCTGCCTGTCTGTTTGAATTCTGAGTCCCAGAGCACTTCAGCTTCTACATTTTATGGTCCCACCTGTTCTTGCTGCAGACAAATTGTATTTCTTTCAGCTCTTGCAATGCACCTTTGTTGCTACTTTTGTCAAGCCATTGTTTGTAGTCAGTTTGTGCAATCTTCTTGCAGCATTTGCTGTCCGTTGCTGTATTCTGAATTCTGGCTATGTATGCATTTGTTCTTAAGGCTTAGTCTTGTGCAGCCAGAATTAGCCCCAAATCTCTTTCTTCAACTTTCCTGCTCTTAGCCATTGCCAGACCCTTGTAATTATCTGCTTTGCCTGCTATTTTAAATGTGCTGACCATGCACTTCTTTGTCTTCCCATGTTTCATTTCTGTTCTTTATGTTCATTTTTGTAGCCCAATTTGGTCTCGATTAAGTACTCAATAAGTCTTCCTTGTATACTAGGATCTTTACTCTTTCAGTGGATCTTTAGTCCTTCAGATTTTCTTCCAATGCTCTTTTTTCTTCAACCATTTGATGTACTTATAACATTTTACACCCATTTATTTTCCTTGGTAAATAGAGTCTGTCAATGTCACTATAATAATGAAGGACGTGATTCATGTCATTATTTTTCTGGTCTTCCTATACATGGCCTTTAGTTCTGCTTGAAGCAGTCCATTATTCCATTTCTGTATCTAATGCCGTAGGGCAATTTTCTTTCTGTTTAGGTGGAAAGAGTTTGTTTTCAAGTAGATAGTGTTGGATTGAATCAGCTACCACACCATTTAGTAATTTGAAAGTTGTTGGCAAGCAGGCTTTTTATTTATTTAGCTTACAACATTTGTACATTGAGTACCAGGGAGTCTACAATGTTATTGTTAGTTTGTTTAATTCATGCCCGCGCGCTATCCAAGGTGCCATGCAGTGGCCGAACTAGCTCCATACAGAGTGACTAACATTATTCTGTGGGAACGTTGGCGTCATCCCGGACTTTTTCTCCAATGATTTCGCTTTGCATTCAGGCAGGTCTGGCAATCGTTAGCTTCTTGCTGTCACATGAAGCGCCATTAGCTTCCTACCAGAGTACTATCTATTTACTAAGTAAATAAGTCATTTATTATTTACTAATTATTTACTAAGTTTAAAATAATAATAGTTTAAATTTATTATTTACTAAGTAAATAAGTGATGGATTGCTGCCGGTTTAACAACCAGTTCGGTGATCGCACACTTTGCGCATGCGTACACAATTTTACAAATACTAACCACCTGTGTTATCATTTGGGAGTAACACAGCTGAGGTGTGGCAATCCGCTCTGCCGTGCCAATCAGCAGAGAATATAAAAGTAAGTAAAGTGTAGGGGCAGGTGGGAGGGCCGGCCTGATCATCAGAGTGAACCGATTCGCTCCCAGCTGATTGTCAGAGCTACTGGTTCGCTTGAACTGGTCCGAACGAGTAGAATCCCACCCGATTTACTTGCATTTTCCATGTTTTTGAACTGCTAGGTTGGCAGAAGCTGAGGGGAGTAATGGAAGCCCACCCCTTCACATAGTGCTAGGGCCAGAACTGTAGGAGTACAGAAAGCAGATCTTTTAATAGCTTTAAGCTATTGAGTTGCCATAAGCAGGTCTGTAGTTCCCTGGTGCTGCCCCTTTTACTGGATATTTCATTATCAGGTAGATTTTGCCAGATGTTAGCCACTTTTCAATTTCACTCCCTTGCAGTATGCTGTTGAACTGCTTGGCAACCAGCGAGTGTTAGACCAGTCAGATGTTTCAACCAAAAAACATGTAGTTCATCTTTACTTGGTGCTGACCAATTCTCAATCTTACTTGCTCTTTTGTCTACCATTTCTGTTGTTACTATATGTTCTCTCATTTCAGTTTTTTTAAATTCTTATTCACCTCCTTTAACCAAGCTGTGTCCTTGTTGTATTTCGCTGGGTTATCCCATATTTGCACCCAGAAGTGCACTGTCTTCCTTGTCAAGTATTGACTGATTCACTGCAGTCTCTTCAATTGATTGGTTGGTAGATATGTTTCTGATTGGATTGAAAATGGAGATACTGCCTATAGTGTGTAATTTGAACTTCATGTCTGCTGATCTTCTTGGCAGGAGGCAGAGGGAGTCCCAAAAAAAGAGTACAGGTGTCTTTGAAATTGAGATATCATAATTCACTGAAATAGATTAAAAAGAATAGAATAGAATAGAACCATGTTAGTACAACCCTGTATTTAAAGAGAAACCACATCTTATATTGAAAGAAATGTAAGTATTTAAGTGAAAAAATAACTAACACATAAAATCAAACAGCATTTTTGGCCAATCAAAACTAGCCAAGTTGAAAGAGACAATAATTTAAGATGATTAATAACTTCTCAGCAGAAATTATCAAGATTTTTTTTTTATCATATTTGCCTTTGGAACAATTCAGCCAAGCATATCAAGACAAGCCATCTAAATTCTACTTCTAATTATGGAACCTCCTTGGCTCTTCCACATCCCTGGTATAGAATTCTTCAAAATTTGAAAATCTCAGAAAAACTCATGAAAAAATTCAGAATTTTTTTTTTTCAATTTTTTTGGGTATGACTCCAATGTAAATCTCCTATGAAACAACTGTCTCTCAGTATGATTTTTTCACATTGGTTCAATAAATGTGGCGTCTCATTTCTGTCTTATATTTGGTTAAACATTTTTGAGTAGATATACCCGGGAAATCCTGGGAATATCCTTAGAATCTATTGCGAACTTATCTTCTTTGTCTCATCTCGAACATGGAAGATTTTGCTGTTGTGCAGAAAATCACATGTTGTGTAGGGCCTGGTGGCTCAGCAGACTAAAAGCATTGTGATTAACACCAGCTGTCTGCAATTACTGTAAGTTCGAATCTCACCAGGTTCAAGGTTGAATCAGCCTTCCATCCTTTCTAAGGTAGGTAAAATGAGGACCCAGTTTGTGGGGGCAATAAGCTGACTGTATAAATATACAAAAGTATGAAGGCTATTGCTTAACGCATTCTAAGCCGCCTGAGTCTCTAGAGAAGGGCGGCATATAAATTATATTTTTTTTAAAAAATGCACATATGTAATAAAAATGTAAGTTAACCATGAAACATTCAAACATGAAGTCTTAATTTAGCAACAGTTCTGGAAGTTTTCCCATTTAATTCAGTAGCTCTCATCTTAGACTTTTTTAAAATATATATTACATTTCATCTTCTGGGTTCCTTTTATCTTTTTTTGTTGTACTTTTTGAACATCCCTCACCAAGACTTTCCCTTGTCTCTTCCAGATATTTACCTTTTTTACCTTTTAACTGTTTCTTTTTTAGGGGGAATTTTCCCCCTTTCCTCTACTCTTTACATTCCCAAAAAAATTCTATAATATTATCTGATTTTTATTTTTTAATATTTTCTCTTCAAAATTGTTAACTTCTTGCTTCTCATTTACAATTCCCTCTTCAAACACCTTCACTTTCTTTTTCTATATCTTTCAGTGAATTTTCTGTTTCTTTTTGACTAATAAAGATTCACACATACTTTTAAACATCAAAATTAACTTCATATATCTGCAACTCAATTTTGTAGCAATCTTCCATGAGAGAAGGGAAATGAAACAAAATCTCAGATGTAAAACACAGTCACTTCTTAAATGTTCTCACAAATTATCTTCTGTATAATCAAGGTTGAGTCTTCCAGCTGGTATTTCTTCTGTTTTATCTATTTAAATAGAGTATTACAGTACTTTTTCTTTCCTCCAGCAGATGGTACTCTCCGTTTCTATTCTGTTACAAAATAGTCTGTCAGGTCTGATTAATTATCAAAATATCCAGAAACTTCCTCTTGGGCTTTTTGTATTACAGTCTCCGTTTCTTCTTCTTTCCACATGTGTTTTTCCCCCCAAATGCTAGATAGCCACTAGTCCAAGCTCAGGAATTTCTTTTAAGATTCCAATTTCAATTTTTTCTTGTATAAATCGGCAATTATCTCACCCAGTTCTAGCACTCCGTCCAAACGCTGCTCCAGGTCAATTCTTGGGTCTGGTTGTCCCAGCTTCAAGGTGGCCATCATAAGATGGCCACCACCCCGCTGCTGCTTCGGGAGAGCTGTTTCTGTTCCTGCGAGGAAATTGCCAATTCCTTGCAGTCCACAAAACGCCTCTCCTTTCTTCTGCAAGAAGGCTATGGCCTCTCCTATCCCTGCAAGAGGGCTATGGCTAAAAAGCCTCCCAGCAGCGGTTCATCCGGCTGGATTTCGCACGGCTCATCAGAGCCCGTTATTTTCCAGTCCGTTCCTGCTGCGACGTCAACCGGAAGTCCTCTCATCTTAGACTTTAAATATGAATTTCAGTGGTGCTGTTTGATTTTTAAAGTTTTCTGAAAGAAGAGTTCCATTCACTTACAACATAATTGTACTCCCTTTCTTGTCTTCTATCATTGCTGTCAGCATCTCCTAATCCCTGGGGGAAGGGAGCATAAAACAAAAAAAAAAAATGGCTATAAATGTGTACTGATAATGGTACTTAGCTGGGTAATGAAATATCTGCAAGAAAACAACCAAGCTCAGAGAGCACCAAGGACCCCACAGTATAACTTCTGTATCTGATTAAAACTTAATACATTTTCTTCTCCCCTTCCTTGTATGTAAAATTGCTGTAATTAACAGTAACTGCTTCCTCATTGCCAAGAATCAGAGTCATACGGCTGGAAGGGACCTTAGAGGTCTTCTAGTCCAACCCTCTGCCCAAAGCAGGAATTCTTATACCATTCTGGACAAATAGATATCCAATCTTTTCTTGAAAACCTCCAGTGATAGAGTACCCACAGTTCCGGGAAGCAAGCTATTCCATTGATTAATTGCCTTACTATCACTTCTTGTGATCTTGATACTATTCCCCGTTGATGCAGCCTAGAACTGCATTGACTTTTTTGATAGCTGTAGCACACTGCTGGTCCATAGTTAAGTGGTGGTCCACTAGGATACCTAGCTTCTTCTCAGTTACTACTGTTGAGCCAGATAGTGTCTATTCCACACCTCTGCATTTCTTTTCTCCTGAAAATTTGCCAAGGTCCCCTTCCCATCATCTAGATCAGTGATGGCTAACCCTTTTGCCATCGCATACCAAAATCAGGGGGAGAGGTCGCACATGTGCCCACACCCATAATTCTATGCTCCCCACTCCCCTGACGTGCGCACAACTCCCCCGTGCTTCCTCTGCTTTTGGCACGTGATGGCCCGGTGGGCCCGTTTTTCGCTTTCCCCAGGCTCCAGAGCCTTTCAAGAGTCTGGGGAGGGTGAAAACAGCCTTACACACACACACACACACACACACATAGAGGCCCTCCGGAGGCCAGAAACAGCCTGTTTCCTGGCTTCCGGTGGGCCCAGAAGGCAGGCCTGAAAATCAGCTGGCCGGCGCACACATGCATGCCGGAGCTGAGTTCACATGCCCATCGATATGGCTCGCCATCATGGATCTAGATCATTGATAAACATGTTGAAGAGCACGAGCCCAAGAAAAAACCATTGCATGCTTCTCTCCAGGTAGATGTAGTTTCATTGAGGGCTGAATGCTGAGTGCGGTTGGTCAGCCAATTGTGAATCCATCTGTGATGGTACTGTCTATCCAATATTGTTCTATCTTATCAAGATGTACTGTAGGCTGTGGTCTATTTTGTCAAATGTGTTACTGAACTCTTAAGTACATTATATCCACAGCAGGGGTGAAATCCGGCAGGTTCTGACAGGTTCTGGAGAACTGGTAGTGGAAATTTTGAGCAGTTTGGAGAACTGGTAGCGGAAATTTTGAGTGGTTTGGAGAACCGGCAAATAGCACCTCTGCTGGCCCCAGACTGAGGTGGAAATGGAGATTTTGCAATATCCTTCCCCCAGGAGTGGGGAGGGAATGGGGATTTTGCAGTATCCATCCCCTGGAGTGGGTTGGGAATGGAGATTTTGCAGTATCCTTCCCCTGCCATGCCCACCAAGCCACGCCCACAGAACCGGTAGTAAAAAAAAATGGATTTCACCACTGATCCACAGCATTTCCTTTATCCATTAATTTAGTCCACTAATTAGGTTACTAATTTAATCATAGTTTTCTATTTATATAGTACCTATGTTTTCATTTTTCTTTTTCCAGTTCTGGCAAAAAAATAACAAAATAACTAGTACTTGTAAAGCTAAACTTAACAAGAAATAAATCACTTTTGTTTTTAATATGAAAATAATTAAAATGTTAAGTTAAAATTAAACTCACATCCTTGACTTCCTCTAAATTTCTTTTTCAAGGGTTTGTTTTCCTCCTCAAGGCTTGCAACTTTTCTGCCTAAGAATTTGTTTTCTTCTTCCAACTAAAATGCAGAAATTACAAGAAGCGTTCATCAATTATAGAATACAAATAAGCAGACAAAAAGAGACGCTTAAAACAGGATTGTAAGGGAAATGAATTATTTACATCTCTTACCATGGCATTTTTCTCGGCTATCTTTTGGTGTTTTTCTCTTATTACATCTCCTTGTTCTGTATTTTTATGGAAAAACACTTGTGCTATTACACAATATTCATGACATTACATATTAAGCCACCAATGATACAGCAATTTAAGACTGGTCGTTAAAAATGGCACAGTGCATTTAAAATGTAATCTTGTGTGTAATTAGCATAGGGAAACAGATCTTTTTGCATCTGATTCCCATTAACTTAAAGGGAGCCTCTCCCAAAGACAGTAGTTCTGAAGGAAGGGTTTTTTTCCCCTCTGGGTACAGAGGAAAGACTGCCGTTCTGTCCCCACTTCTACTACAGGTACCTACAAAAACAATATGGTTGGTTACTCACCTTTGTCTCTTTGATGTTCCTTGTATTCTGGAGATAGTACTTGCAAAAAAAGACATTTTGAACATTGAGGGCAAACCAACTACAGGATGAGAATTTAGTTATCCTAGTTTTCAAAATAATTTATATACTATATGCCTTTTCAAACCAAAATGTTCATATTTGTAGCTGGGACAAAGTATGGTGAATTTAGATTTTTAAGCAATCCTCATATACACTATTACAAATGAAGCTGCTGAGAATAATTATTTTGCTCTATTTGTAAAAATCTGTCAGGAATAAAAATTTAATCTTCTAGCTCTAAATAGATTTTTAAAAATACTAATCTTGCATATAATCCTTCTAAGAAATTGTTTTATCTCAAAACTGGGATCTGGAAGGAACTATATTAAAATTTGATTTGAATTCTTAATACATATGATATGATGTAGGCGAAACTGAATTTGCTTGGGATTTTATTGATTTATTTATTTGTTTATTGGGGAGGGGTGTGTCTGTTGAAGCTGGTGTGAGGAAAAAGGAGCAGATTTTGATAGGCTACAAAATTTGCCAGATTGTATCCATATTGTTTGAAAATAGCATGAAGACCCTCACTAATTACTGTTACCACTTTTAAAAAACAATTCTCATGACATCACCTGAATTTTGTCTGTAGCCAACTGGGGACAATTGAAGTTGCCTTTAGTTACTCTGCTGTTAAAGTGATATTATAATGGCCCTCTTCTTCCAATATAAACATTGCTGTATGAACAATTGATAATGTCTCTGAGGATGTGTTGCTGACAGCTTGGTCAGAGGCTAGAATCCTTCCATCTCTAGTTTGGTGTAAGGTGACTCTGGGCCTCCTGACTACTAATTGCATGGATGATAATTGCAGCTGTTTGTACATTGTCAAGAATTCATATGGAGTCAGTGGTACAAAAATACTGTTAAATCAGCCAGTCTGGCCCAGTTTCTATCCATCTTTCCTCTGATACAGTTCTGGGCTGATTATCATAGAAGATATTGGTACATGTACTATTCTGGTTCCACTGCTGTGTGTAGTGAGAAATGCTTTTTTGGACATAGGATTCAATCTCAGGTTGTTCATTTAGAGCCTAACTACAAGTACTAGCTCAGGAGTTTCACCTGGCACATCCAGGGGATTTGCAACTGGTTATCATCAGTATATCAGTGATTCTACATTCCAAATGGATGGATGACCTCACCTCAGCAGCTTCATGTACTCAAGTGAGCAGCCACTAGATTACTTCAACCTTATTTCCATCAACTGGACCATCCACTCAGGAAGTAGCAGAATCATTACTTGCTCTCAACTTCAAACCCTTGAAAGCAGCCCAGGATACTTTGCTTAATAATAAAGGCCCCCTAGAAATGTAAATGAACCAAGAAGGATGCATGTCTCCAAGCAGGTCCTGAGATTGTCATCCCCCAGGGGCAACCAGTGCAGTTTCTGCCCAAGTCTTGAATCCCATCACTTTTTCTACAATTTCCCTAAAGAAATTGCCAAAAAAACAAATAATGTGTCTAGCCAGATGTAATAGAACTGATATGTGCTCATAGTACCTAACATTATAAAAGACTCTCAATTCACTTCTCGACTCCATACAGTAGATGTGCTGTGCTGCATGAACGTGGCCATAGTATCAACCCTATGGTTTGGCATGCTAATATTTCTTTCTGCCATTTTCCTTCCCAATTCAAAGGCCCTTTTCCAATCATTGTCAATGCATATGGACTGAGAGGCTGCCTTTCTGAAAGTTGCTTTTCCTTCTCAGGTGTTTTGTTTGTGCAGAGGGGACTGTACTGTACCTTTTTGTGCACAAATGAGGATGTAAACAAATGGGTTTTGTTTATCATGGGAGCAGGTATATGGTAGAGGGGACAGCATCCCTTCCACCATTTTGCCTCCACCTGTCATAGCCAAAAACAGTAGGAAGGGGGACTCTCTCCCCTGCCCCACTACTTTGGGCCATCCACCTGGTGTATTGAAAAAGGGGTGAAGGACACGCTGAACCTTCTCTAGTGCTAAAAAGGGACATGGGATAATGAAGCGACAATGTTCACTAACTGTTAAGAACTGCCCATCTCCCCCCCCACCCCCGAGAGACTATAGGAGTTGTACAAATGAAATACTAAAAACATAAAGCACCATATATAAAATTTAAGAGAGGCAAGCAATGTTAAAAATGAATTAGGAAGAAGGATTTAAGGACTCTAGCCAGCCCTACAATTATGTGCTTTCCTGTGCACCCCAAGCAAGGCCACAGAGCCATGTTTCCCAGCCTTTCTGGAAAGCTATCCTGTGGATGTGTTTAAATTGAAGATATTAACACAATTCACCAAGAAAGGGCTTGAAAGAAGATGTAGAAATATTTTTAAAATATTCGGGTTCAAAAGTTATTCTAAAAATTATTCTAAAACAATTTTGCTTGTTCCTACATTCTTCTGATTCCTGTTTTATTTTATTATTATTATTTATCCTTATGTCATGTTACCTGTCAAGTTACCTCTTTGAATCCTAAATCCTAGAGTCAGACATACAAGTTTACAAGTAAATAAATAAATAAAACAGAACATCTCTTACCTCAAAGAGAGCTTTCCCAGCATAATATCGGAATGTCTCCATGATGAAGTCAATGTCCTAAACTAAACTAATCCTAACTAAAGAAACAACTATATCGTGAAGAAATAAACAAATAAAGTGTGTATAAGCTCAACTAAATTAAGTAAACAAGTGTGATATTAAATAAGATAAATTAACAAATAAGCAAACAAATATTGTAAACTAAACCTAAGCTATATAAATGCAGTTAAATAAAAATAAAATCTAAGCTACCAGTCCGCAATGAGTAAGGATCAGTACACTCAGCGCGCGCACAGAGAAAAAACTCTGTGAATAGCTTTCATTCAGCCCACCAATAAGTTTTATTTACTTCTCCTTTGTGAGCTTATCTATCTGTCAGCACTATTATGACGCATGACCTCAGAAAGGAAATCAGCAAAGCACGCTGATCAGCTGAATGAATGTTACTCAAGAGTTTTATCTATTTTTCAATATTGGGAGAAACGTAAGTATACAATCCTATTGATGCATTTGGTGGAATCAAAGGATGACCTAACAAGAAAAATGTCATAGAAAAAATAGTGCCATTGAAGAAAGGACGAAGATCTCTGGAGAAATATGCACAATTTAGACTGAAAAAGTGGTGCAGAAGTGAGTGAACAGAATTGGAGAGATGTCCGATTACAGTATGGCTCTTGCTCCACCATACTTTATTTGCCCATTTCTCTTGAAAGAACTTCAGGGCGGCTACGGTTCTACATGTGGTGGGTCTCAGGACACGTGTCTTCTCAGTTGTGATGCCCTCTGTACAGAATATTCTTCCCAAAATTAAGTTAGCTCCATGCCTTTTGATTTTTGAAAAAGCTTTAAGAACAGATTAGGTGACCAGGACTGAATCTGAAGGAGCAGTGGGGGAGAGTTTGGGCAGCACAGAGATTTCTGAGAGCTATATCAAGAGACTGCACAGCGCCAAGCTAGATGGGGGAGCAAGGAAGAGGTTCAGGGTAGGTAGCCACACGCTTAGACTCTCTCAGGGCATAGCTAGTAGTTAGGAGATTACAGCTCGAGTTTGACAAGATTCTGTCCATTAGTTATAGGAAAGAAAGGATTCATATAAATAAACCAGTCATTGGAGTGCAGTTGCAGTGTGTGTGGAACAGTGGGACTGTGGGGGATATGGAGTTCAACACTTCGAAATATGATGTCATTGTCATCAGTGGGGCTCAAATTGATGCAACAGACTATTCCCCATGCTTAAAATGGACATTTATAGCATTCATTTTATATCAAAAACAGGTAGTCCTCGACTTACAACAGTTCATTTAATGACCGTTACAATGGCACTGAAAAAAAATGACTTATGGCCATTTTTCACACTTATGACCATTGTAGCATCCTTATGGTCATATGATCAAAATTCAGATGTTTGGCAACTTACTCCTCTTTATGGCGATTGCAGTATCCTGGGGTCATGTGATTGCCTTTTACAACCTTCTGAAAAGCAAAGTCAATAGGGAAGCCAAGATTCACTTTAAAACCGTGTTACTAACTTAGCAACTGCAGTAATCCATTTAACAATAAGAGCCTAGTGGCTCAGCAGACTAAAGCACTGTTATTAACATCAGCTGCCTGCAATTACTGCAAGTTCAAATCTCACCAGGCTCAAGGTTGACTCAGCCTTCCATCCTTTCAAAGGTAGGTAAAATGAGGACCCAGATTGTGGGGGCAATAAGCTGACTTTGTATAAAATATATACAAAAGTATGAGGGCTATTGCTTAACGCAATGTAAGCCGCCCCAAGTCTCCGGAGAAGGGCGGCATATAAATCAAATTAAAAAAAAAAAAAACTGTGGCAAAAAAGTTGTAAAATGAGGCAAAACTCACTTAACAACTGTCATATTTGGCAACAGAAATTTTGGGCTGCTTTGTGGTCATAAATCAAGGATTAGCTGTATGTATTTCATGAAAACACTTTGATGCCCAAAGTGTATTCATATGACAAGATGAGTCATGATGATGCCATTATTTAATTCATACTACATAATGTATCTTAATTATACAGGGTGGGTTTATGCAACAATATAGACTTGTGTTAATTTGCTACTTTTTGGGATAACATCTAATACATATTCATTGTGGTCAGACCAGGGGTGGGTTCTAAATTTTTTTACTACCAGTTCTGTGGGCGTGGCTTATTTTGTGGGCATGGCTTGGTGGGGGGGTTAATGTGACTGGGTCGGCGTGGCCAACTTTTCTTTTTCTTTCTACTTTTAAAAGCATTTTTTCTACAACCTTAAGAGGTTGCAGAAAAAAATGCTTTTAGAAGCCTCTGACGATCAGGCAACTCAGCTGGGATCGCCAGAGGCTTTTAAAGGCATATTTTTTCTATAACCTTTTCGGCTGAAGAAGTTGCAGAAAAAATGCTTTTAAAAGCCTCTGACGATCCCAGCTGAGCTGCACGATCATCAGAGGCTTTTTTTTACTTTTAAAAGCATTTTTTCGGCTGCAGAGGTTGTAGAAAAAATGCTTTTAAAAGTTAAAAAAAGAAAAAAGCTGCTGATGAGGTGGGCGGGGTTAGCGAGTGGCAACTGGGCAGGGGACCGGTTCAGGGGCATAGCCAGCCAATTGTTATTACCAGTTCTCCGAACTACTACCAATTTTTATTACCGGTTCTTGCGAACCAGTGCAAACCGGGAGCAACCCACCACTGGGTCAGACCTCACAATAATGCTGCCCAACTGATACCAAATTAGGGAAGTCTAGATGACCAATGATAGCCTGAATAGCTTTTTAAAAAAATTATTAACAAAAATATTTAAAAGGTTCAAGATCTGAACGCTGTGCAACGGTGTGAGTTCCCATTACTTGCCCCAACTCCTGCCAACCTAGCAGTTTAAAAGCATGGAAATTCAAGTAGATAAATAAGTACCACTTCAATGGGAAGCTAACAGTTCTCTGTGTGCCTCAGCGTAGTCATACTGGCCACATGACCACAGAAGAGTCTTTCAACAATGCTGCTTCCTTCTGCTAGGAAACAAAGATGAGCACTGCCCCCTAGGTCTGGACACGACTGGACAGGGGAAATCCATACCTTTTTTTATAAAGAGGAGAAAAAAGGTAAGAGAGAAGAAACAAAAGCATGCAGTTATTTACAGACATACATATTTCAATAAATTAATGCCCTAATTTATTGCAGACATCCATAGTTGATCTATAATAATCTATAAATAGTTTGGAGCTACCGTATTTTTCGGTGTATAAGACACACCTTTTTACCCCCCAAAAGGAGGTGAAAATTTAGGTGCGTCTTATACGCCGAATGTAGCCCTGCCCACCCACTGGCCCCCACCCTTTGGCCTGGGCCTCGCAGCAGTTACCTTCTTGCAAGCAAACAGCAAGAAAAAATAGCCCCTTTCAGCTTCAGCACAACCTAATTAGCACAAGTTGATTAGATTGGCCTCCTGACTCTCAGCTGATTTGCTCTCAGCTGTTTTGCGCAGGGCTCTCCTGCTTGCTGCAAAAAGTGCTGGAGCAGATTTTTTTTCCCTAGCTATGCTGAAAAAACGAAACTGAAAGTAAAGCAGGATCTTTGCTGCAACACGACAAAATTAGGCAGAGAGAGATTTCTTTTTCTTTTTTCTCACCAAAAAAGGTAGGTGCAAACAATGGGAAATTTAGGGCAAAAGAGGAGAGTTCAAGATTTTAAAACACAAAAGAAAAAAAGCTCTATTTAACTAGGGAATTGTAATAATTGAGATACTATTAATTGTATATTGTGTTGAAAGCAGAAATGGTTAAGTTGTGGGGAAAATTATTTGGTTTATTATTATTGGTAAATATAATTAATTGATTTGTAAGAAATTGGATTGCATGGAAATAATTGGAATATTCATGTTTATAATAATAATAATAATAAAAATAGTTATAACTAATTGATTTATATAAAAATATTGAATTTGTATTAAACAATTGTAATATTAAATAATTAACCAATGTGAGGTTGGATATAAAAATAGATGACAATGGGAAGGGGTATAATATAGAATAGAAGGGAAAAATTGAATTTGATTAAGATTAGAGATGAGAATGTAATATTGGTTTTTTAAAAAAAATAGATGAGTAATAAATATGGCAAAAAGGAAATATAGAAATTGTAAATTTAATTGAAATGACTAAACACTGTTTAAATTTGTGAACCAGCCAAACACTCTGTTCAAAGAAAATACATTGTATGTTTGTATATGTGTTTGTCTAAAAAATAAAAAAAAACTTTTTTAAAAAAACAACAACCAAAAAAGGTAGGTGCGTTTTATACTCCGGTGCATTTTATACTCCAAAAAATATGGTATATGTTTGTCTTTCTGGTGCTGAACAGTAAGTTTTTTTGATTCTAAGCCCATTTTCTTTGTCCAAAACTCAAAGAAAAATATGTAATCCAATATCTATTGATTTTTTTAAAAGAAAAATCTCTTTATTATTAAGATACTTAAGTAAAAACAAAAAAGAATTGCATGTACATACTTAATGAACTTCTA